GGCTTAAACAACAGACATTTACTTCTCACAGTTCTGGAGACTAGGAAGTCCAAGGTTAAGGTGTCAGCAGATCCAGCCCCTGGTGAGAGATCTCCCCCAAACTTCCAGACAGCTGCCTTCTCACTGCATCCTCACATGGCAGAGAGAAGACACTCTGGTGTCTTTTCCTCTAAGTACTAGAAAAGTACTAATTCCATCTTCATGACCTCATCTAAACTAAATTGCTCTCAGAGACCCACCTCCTAGTACAATTACACTAGGGGTGAAGTTTTAATATATGAACTTGGGAGGATTACAAACATTCAGTCCATAGCACATATAAAAAATTGAAATAGAAATATGCTACCATGAAACAAGATTAACATAAAACCAAAGTTTTTAGGAAATAAATATTTCAAGAGTCTTTCTATCTCTGATTGCTATATTTTTTCCACAATCACAAAAATTATACACACATCAGTATCAGAATGGACACTGCCAAAAATCAGATTATTAATTAGATATCCCAGTTGTCTGTGTCATAGAGAACTGCAAGCGAAAAAACATTATTTAGTTCAGAAACCTCACTTTTAAAGGGGATTCAGTAAGCGATGAGAGATGAAGGGACCACCCAAGATATTTTCACTATATTATTTTAAACACATTACTTAGCTCTTTAATCTTTAATCTTTAATGTCTTCCTCTGCAAATACTCATTTAACGGCATGATGGTTAAACTGACTCATGCATATAAAGCTCTTAGCTTAGAATATGGTTAGTAAATAACACATGACTTTATTCCTATTATTGTTTTCATTATTGTCACTGGTGGCAGACAGAAGTCGCCTGATGACCAATTCAGTGTTCTTTTCACATGATCACTCTGATGCATTTTAAGAATTTTTTTTTTCTAGCCAATCACCAAAATCACCAATGTTTATATTGTCAAAGAATTTTTTCAAGTGAGTTCCTTTACTTGACCATATCAGTTAAGCAGCTTTCATTTGGGAAAATCACTTAAGAAAAACATAGCTTATGGTTATATTTAATATGAGAAACTAAATAATGTATATGAAAGTATTTTATAAACTGTTAAGTGCTATATAAGTTACTATATATTTTATTGGATTGAATCACTAATAGAGTGAGAGGGTTAAGAAGAAATAGACACAGATCAGAGAAATAGAATATGATCGTGGCATCTGTGGGTAGTAAGGAAGATGTGTGAGTGAGCCAGCATAATGGAGAAAGCTTAATATTCAGAACCAGAAGAGAGGCCAGCACTCCAGACAGATACCATGTATAGGGTAGGCACCAGCCCCAGGTGGCTACTTGAATTTAAATTAGTTGAAATAAAACATGACTTAAAATTCAATTCCTCAGTGGCACTAGCTACTGTACACATTAGTCATATCACAAGTGGTAAATAATTACATGTAACTAATGTCTACCCTATCAGAGAAGATATATGACAATTCCACCATTGCAGACAGTTCTATGGTATGCACAACCTTAAAGAACTGATGTAGGAAAGAGGAGATTTGATGTTTTCCTAAAGAATAAAAAATAAGAAATTATTTTATTTCATGGTTGACCATGATTTATAGCTTTATGGTTTTTGATACTTCCTAGGTTTGCCGAATTAGCATATATTATTTCAGGAAACGGTTTTGTTATTGGTTTTTAATGAGAAAATACAGTTGTCTCCTCATTCTAACTTAATTCTCAGCAACTGTTATTTACTGTCTCTTCTGCAACAACTCAGTCCTAATCCCCCAGGCTCAATCTTCATTGCTCATTTAGCGAAAAATTGCCCTGAATTAAGATGATACTTTTGATTCCATAAAAGTTTCTAGCAAGCTCAGAAGCCTGCACAGAATAGAAGAGCATCTGATGCCTAGCACTGCATTCAGTCTGTGTGTCCTTCGATTTACAGAGGCTCATATAACCAATTCTGCTTAGAGGGTTGGCGAATTCTGGTCTTAGAACATATATTGTCATATCTGAGTCAACTAAAAACCTTTAATGTGCAACTGATGCAAGTTATTGGTAAGAATGCCCAAAAGAAAGCTGAGACTGTACCATTTGATAGGGTTTGTATTTTATCAACTTGAACAACATCATGTGTTGAAGCATGATTATAGAGTGATTTTACAGAGTGGCCGTGGCCAGGGTTGCTGCTCTGTGAAACTGTTTATATTCAACAGAAGGAGAGCATGGCCTAACCATGAGTGTCAGGCCTGCTCCTAGCAACATCAAAGCCCCTCTAATCCTGAAAAATCAGTTCTTAGCTGTCACTTTTATCAGTTACTATATGGAAATATCAACCAAAGAATATAACCTAATCCAGGAAATTATGATGGCTTCCCTGAGAAACTGACATTTAAATTGAGAGTATAAAAGTTAAAAAGTCACCCTAGCTGGTTGGGCTCAGTAGACAGAGCCTCGCCCTGCTGATCAAAGGGTCACGGGTTCAATTCTGGTCAAGGACACATACCTAGGTTGCAGGCTCCTCCAAGACAACCAATCAATGTGTTTTTCTCACATTAATATTTTTCTGTGTCTTTCCCTCTCTTTTCCACTCTCTCTAAAAATAAAAATGTTCTCAGGTAAGGGTTATAAAAATAATAATTAAAAAGAATAAAAGTTAAAAGGTCTTCTGTTGTCACAGCCCAGTGGTTCGCTTAGCCTTTTCTTCTGTTTCCAACACTATTTTTTCCTACAAATGAATTCTGCATAGAAAGCACATACCAAAGCTGTCTTCTTACCATTCCAAACTTTCTCTAATGTAAGAACATTCCATAACTGTGGAGTTTCTATGGGTAGTATATGCTAAAAGTTCTTGTGAGATCCCTAGCTGATTTGGCTCAGTGGATAGAAATTCAGCCTGCAGACTGAAGGGTCCCAGGTTCGATTCTGGCCTAGGGCACATGCCTGGGTTGAGGGCTCAGTCCCCAGTAGGGGGCATGCAGGAGGCAGCCGATCAATGATTCTCTCTCATCATTGATGTTTCTATCTCTCACTCCCTCTCCCTTCCACTCTGAAATCAATAAAATATATTAAAAAAGAAAAGTTCTTGTGAGAAAATGATGTTGATGATGATGATGCCTCTTCAATTTAAAGGGTAAAGTCAGTGGTGAATAATGCACACACACACACACACACACACACACACAAAAGATATTTAAACACATTATGGACAGGAAATAAAATAATCTAATATTTCCTTTCAAAGCTGTGTTTCTCATGTAGAATGTAATGATAAACAAAAATGAAAGATTTGGTCTTCAAAGTTAGTGACTTGAGTTTTATTGATACCTGAGAAAAAGTGAGAAAGAAAATATATCCATTTTCTCCCTTATATTAAATTTTGTTAGTATAAATAATGTTTAAAAAGTGTATCTTGCTGAATTAATTGATCTCTCCTACAAAGCTCATGTGATCAAAATCTTTAAATCTCATACAATTCCATGTCTTCAAAAGACTTTAGAAAGTTGGAGAAAATTAAAGCCATCAGCCAATGGGGTGAATATCCCAGCTACTGTTAGACTGCCCAATAGATTATGTAAATCAAATCCTTCCATAATCTAGCAAAACTGAAGCACCCCTCTGGCTATGCAACTCCCCTGGGAAGAGTGCACCCTGATCTTTGATGCAAAGAACCCACAAGGGAGAATCTGGATGACTATGCACTGAGTGATTTGGGACATTTCTTATTACTTAGTTATGATATTTGAATTCCCAGTGGCATTTTTATTTTTGAATATTTACTTTCAAGAGTAACCTATGGCAATAGTAAAACACGACAGATGAGTTATTTTGCATTTTTCTGGCATCAGTGTACATCTCAAGTAGTCATTTTTGTTATTTTAGTTATAAGCTCAGATTTAAAATCAACAAATACCTATGAGGACCCCATAATTTGTAAAAAAAAAAAAAAAAAAAATTATGCTGAGTGCTTTCACCTCATTGCCATTCAATAATGTGGTGGGAAAAGTATTAATAAGCCTGTTTCTTTTAAGAACAGTTAATAAGAAATCATATTCTTTTACATATGAGTTTGTAAAGTAAAGTCCTACTAACAGTAGTAGGCATATGAAACAGCACAGGGATCTCATCTGTGATCAAGAAACAATCTTCAGCCCAGCTGGCATGACTCAGTGGTTGAGCATCGATCTACGAACCAGAAGATCATGGTTCAATTCCCGGGCAGGGCACATGCCCAGGTTTCCAGCTCAATCCCAGGTGTGGGGCATGCAGAAGGCAGCCTATCAATGATTATCTCTCATCATTGATATTTCTATCTCTCTCTCCTTCTCCCTTCCTCTCTGAAATAAATCAATAAGTATATATATATATATATATATATATATATATATATATATATATATATAATATTTAAGACACAATCTCCAAAGTATATTTAGTACAGACTCAGAATCCTTGAAAATTCATTCAGAGTTCCAAAATGTAAGTCCATATAACAGATCTCTTCTATAGATATGGAACCTGAATATCCAAATCAATTTCATAAATACTCATAAATATGTCTGAATGATTACTAGGTACCAAAACCAGTGCACAGGATTTAAACACTAGCTTGAGACTGCAGGGGCTAATATTGCTCAAGAACACAAAATACTACCTGGAAATTTTATTTCCCAGTACAATATGCAGTCTTGGGTATCTAGAAGTTAAAGCACTCTTCGATTTCACACTTCTTTTATACTGCCAAATATTTGCCAACGTATCTTGTACACTCAGACATATTTTTAAAGGTTGTAAATTCTACTAATTAACATGAGACAAGCCAATTGGAAGAGCAGCCTCCACAGCAGAGGGGCAGGAGAAACTGGTTGACAAGCACACCACACTGAGTCAGGATCCTCTGACCTGTCCATTTCCTTCCCCCACTGCTCTGTTGGGTATATCTACAAGTGAATTTGCTCAGTATTTCTGTTTTTGTAAGTAATTATGTGGGCATATGTTGAAAAGAAGAAAAAATATATACGAACATTTACTTTGGCCATTTTATTGTGATATGTAGCTAACAATGGGTCAGGTACTATTAGTTGCTATCTGATGTACCAAACATAAACAAACAGGGAGGCAGGCTCAAGATCCTCCCCAGTTCTGGAAAAGAGAGGAACGCGACGAAAACCTGCAAAAAAAGAAAAAAAAATCATATCTAATTAGAACAAGAAAATTAACCAGCAATGGCCCCGATAGTGCTACTTGAGAAGGAATGTATCTTTACTAAGCATACCATAAAAACTCTGGCTGCACAGTTATATTCATCTTGCATATTAATTTTGGACAAAGTAAAGTAAGTTTCTATTCTGATTTTCTACTGAATTACACTGAGGACACAGCTCAGTGTCTCCTTTCAAAGCGCAACATCTCCAAAATTAGCCACCACCCTTCTGCTTTAGACTCTGTCTCCTACGGACATCTCAGATGGTGTTAGAAAAGCAGGCATATTGAGAGGAGGGCATTGGGAGTACAATGTAAATCAGCCCGCAAGGGGATGCAATTACAGGCAGCCCTGGAAAGAACCAAGAAAGGATCATCTTGAGCTCCCAGTCTCTTCTCCTGAGGTGGGAAGAATGAGCCATTGCTTCTCCCTCCTCTCTGATTCCCTTCCTTCATTTTCTTATGGTAGCTCTGACTATTCCATAGCCTAAACACAAAGCTATGATCCACGTACAGAAATGCTCATACATGTCGTTTGTCTAATTAGTCTTTCTATTGATCCCGCACCCCAATCCCATATTCCATATGAGAACACATTCCTGTAATCTCACCCAGAGACAACATGTGTCAATAGATAAAATCTCCTTTATATCTGGCTGCCATGGATACAGCTATTTGGTATATCAAAGTCTGTCTTTGGTAAAAAGTTATACTGGTCAGCATAATCATCTTACTTTTAAGCATATTACCTTTGCCCATGCATAAAAGTGGTAAAGTATATTGCCCGAGAAATTCATTTTCGGCTATTACATTTTGACTTTCCACAACAAAACGTATCAATGCCAATTCTGGCACCTGAATAATAAATGTGAACGTTTCATTCCATCTTGGACTAAAAGCTGAAACATAAAGGAATAGATAGAATTAAAAAAAATCATAGACATTATTTATAGGGGAAATTTCGTTACATCTATTCTCCAAAATTTTTTCTCTTCAATATTTCAATAATAATAGCTTGTGTTTTAGATCATCTCAATTTTTAACTCACCCACTGAGAAAATAATAATGACGACAACAACATTTTGACTATTTATTATTGCTGAGTAATATTCTAAGAGTTTTAAGTAGATACTACCTTTTGATCTTCACCACAACTGCATCAGGATAACTGTTATTCACATTCTTAGATGAAAGTACTGACCCAGAAAGATGCTACGTAATTTCCTAAGGGTTCAGATTCACAGCCATTAAATGACAGGTCAAGATCTCCAGGAAGTGGAGTCTGATTTCAGAGCAGAAATGTTTAATCATTATGCAATATGACTTCTGTATTTAGGCCTTCCTTTAACAAAGAATTGAGACATAAAGAAGTAACATCGTTTTTCTATACCAGGTCTTATCATGGGCCGAGCACCATGGACAGTTGTGGAACTGGAAGCTAGATAGTTAAGTGCTTTAAAGCCAGCTCTTGATCTTTTGTTTGACTAAGTGCTCGTTTTTAAAGTACAAAGTTGATGAATAATTTATGTTTCTAGCAAAACAGATTATCCCAATCAACAATCTCTTGTCAAAAAAGAAACCCAATTGTGTCACAACATGATCCAACTCATCCAATATTGAAGTATAACTTAATGGAATCAAGAAATTCCTATCCAGATCAAATATAATAAATAAATCACTTAATAAATACTCAGGGGTTCAGAGAAAAATGTGAATCATTCTTCATGGACAAAAGCAATGCTATGCCTGCTGTGTCAATAGCTTTTATTCTTTGAGTTACATCTCCAGAAGCATTGAAGAATTTGTGACTAATTATACATTATCTGTGGATTCCCACAAAAATATTGAACTAATTGACTCATGTTGGAATATGACTGTATTACCTTTTCCTAAGAGGGGAAATAATCCCCTAAAGGGACTGGTTTAAGAATCAGTTCTTTATAGATGTTGCAAATGTCTGCACAAAATTCTTATACTGATTGACTCTACCTCCTCCAACCCTACTTTAATATAAACTCCCTTCCTCTCTCTTTCTGTCTTTCATACACACAGTCACATGACCATCCCCCATAGAACTTTTTTACTTTATGTTATACTAATCTGTCTTAAGTAACCTGTATTCTGCTCATCTTGAACTTCTTTTTTTTTTTAATATATTTTATTGATTTTGTACAGAGAGGAAGGGAGAGAGATAGAGAGAGTTAGAAACATCGATGAGAGAGAGTCATCGATCAGCTGCCTCTTGCACACCCCCTACTGGGGATCTGCCCGCAACCAAGGTACATGCCCTTGACCGGAATCGAACCCGGGACCTTTCAGTCCCCAAGCCGAAGCTCTATCCATTGAGCCAAACCGGTCCCGACTCATCTTGAACTTCTTTACCTTTCCTCAGTATGTTTGAATTTTTCTCCATGTTTTTATCACTCATATTATTCCTTTTGCCTTAAGTGTTCTTGTCTTTGATCTCTGTGAAAAATTCTACTGGTTCTCCAAAAACTATCACCAATTTTGCTTTTTCCACTACAATTGTTTGTAATTTTAATAAAGCACTGATAACTCTTTACTATACAGTGGTGCCTCACACAACGAACTTAATTCGTTCCAGGAGCAAGTTTGTTATGCGAAAAGTTCGTTATGTGAAACGTGTTTTCCCATAACAATACATGTTAAAAAAAATAATTCGTTCTGTAGCATAAAATATGCTAAGATGGCATAAAAAAGATAAATTTTTTGTTATTATTTTTATTTAGATACATCTAAAAACATAATTTAAAAAAAAAAACAAAAACACATTTTTTTAATTTTAAGACAGACTAAGTAGAGTCTACCGAATCTTGCACATCTTCATCCATTTTCTGCTTTTTGGCCAATGGTTTCATGAAAAACCTGTCCAAAGTCGTTTGTTTTTCTCTTTTCTCCAACATCTGCTGGAAATAACGGACAAGAGTATCGGAGTAAAGATCGTTGATCCTGTTTGCTTCAGCTGAATCCGGATAGTGGGTAAACTCCTGAACTGCTTTCCATTTGACCAGGATGTTCTTGATGTCAGCAGTTGGGATTGGTTGATTGTTTGATTGTTGCTCCTCGTTATCAGATGTCGCTTCCCTTTGAGCATTGTCCTGTTTCATTTCAACAGAAATCACCTTCCTGCTTTTTTTAGAAGCCATGATATAAAAAAAATATTGAGTTTAACTTAAAAGGACGACTGCCGTGATACGTGCGTGATTTAATTCGTAATGAAGAAAGATTGCTGCGATACGTGCTTAAGTTAAGCGCAGTGACTAACGACTGCCTGCAGTGCCTGCGCGGAAGGATGCAATACATCGGCAGCGATCGTGGAAGCTCGGGCGAAGCAGTCGTGGAAGCTCGGGCAAAGCGGTCGTGGAAGCTCGGGCGACTTCGTTGTGTGAAACGAAGTTCGTTGTATGAATCATGAAATGAAGTTCGTTGTGTGCAGCGTTTGCTGTGCAAGGCGTTCTTTATGCGAGGCACCACTGTAATAGTTTTACTTGTATCTCAGTCCTCATACTGAACTGTGAACTATCCATAATACAGTTAGTTTGGGACTGACAAAATAACACACTTAATAAAACCAAGATTTTAAGTTTCTTGATAGTTAGCATTAGGCTTTTAACATAATGGGCAGATAGAGGGCATCAAAGGGGATTATCAACCAAGAAGAAAAAAAACTAATATAACTTCACCTGCTTTTCTGTCAGTGTCATTAAGCCTGAAGCATATTTCCCGACTCTGAAGTGAAGTCCACTATACTTTGGGGATATCAACTCAAAGAAGATTCTAGACTCAAATATCAGTTCCAAGGTTTCTTCCAAGGTGATCTGACTAAGAGTCAATCCCAGGACTCTATATTTGTCTAACTTCCTGAAGGACTTCAACCTCAGGGAAGAAATGACAATGTCAGTACTGTACTACATAAAATATCATGAGAACCTGGAATACTGAAAATCTTACCAAAGTCATTTCTTCCATTCCTACATTTCCCTTCTGGCAAAAATGACTGGATTATGAATCCAAATACTGTTTGAGTAGGTTTCTATGGCAGCCTTAGCCTGAGTCAGAAGCAACAGACTTTTAAAATAACTCAAGCAGTGAAGAAGTACAAATGTGTAACATGCTCTATCAGAGTAATCACAAGTTCTTCATTTTACACGGAGGCTGGAACCTAAGTAGATTTTCAGCCCTCAAAATGTCTCCCTTTACTTCAGTGATATTGGGGGAAACATAAAAAGGAGGTAAAAGGGAAAAAAATATAATTTTTTTTCAGATAAATTTTTGTATCCGTAATCTGAAAATATATCTAAATAACATTATTATCAAATTGCTTGTGTTGCATATAACACTTTCATCATCTTGAACATAATGCAAAACCTTTGCCTTATGAATGTTAGATACCAAAACTCTGTCAATATATAATTTTTTAAGCTTTTCAGCAAGAAATCTAATAGAAGTTCAATGAAATATATTAGGAGCTCACCATTTCTTTTAATTACACGAGTCTGTTGTTTAACTTCATCATTTGGGACACCAAAGATTTCTATAATCACTAATACGTCAGCTTTGTTAGATGATGAATGAACACTGGGAGGCAACTGAATACCACTGATAACCTGTGCAAAAATATTTGAATACAAGAATTTAACACAATACCAAACTGCATCACCATTTAATTTTAAAATAAAATATATATTGTAAAAAAATTGATAGATTTTAATTCAGTTTCCCTAAAAGCATTGTAAGTATAAAATAATGTAAAATTTAAAATGTACTTTTATCCTCAAATACAAATAGGTGAATATCAGAAATGTGTCTAAATTATTCCGTTTTGGCGATATGTGATTATAATAGAATCCACACTGTCCAAGGTTTATGGTTCAACATGTGTTTTTATTTTTAAATTATTTGTTATGATTGTTAAAAAGCAATCTTAAAAGCATTGTTATGATTATCTTAATTGTAATTCAGGCTAAGATAATCTGGTAACATGAACTATTTTCAAATTCATATTATATACATACAGCAAAAAAATAGAAGCAATATCAATATTCTGAAATGTAAGAAAAATCATCACTATTTCCTAGATAGTGTTTTATGGTAGTATAATTTATATGTTTAGATAATTTATCACAAATTTATATTATCTGTTGTTGTCTATATTATCATACATAACCTAAGTCTGACTAAATTCAGTATTTCATATGCATATTAGGAACCAGGTATTAAAAAATGCTAATGAGGTAATTAATAGTTTTACTTAACCTTTTATTAGTCAAGCTAATTGTGGAAGCAAAAACTTGTTTTACTTAAAGGAATAAAGTTTGAACAAAAATCAATATTTAAAGTCTTTTAATAAATAAAATGTGCTAATGTAAAAATTTAGGTATGACTTCAAGTTTTGAAGATTATACTAAAGAGAAACAAATAAAAATTTGTTTGAAAAGAAAAATAAAGGAGGAGAAAGAAAAAGAAACCCCAAAAATGTATCAATCTATAATTTTTTCTTTTCTTCATCCATACATTATGGTATTACCTAGAAACCAGGGTGACTGTGCAAATATTTAACAACCAGTATGGAATGGGCATTGATCAGTCAGCATAATTAGACATTAATGTAATTAGAAAGAAAATTTATCATAAGCATCTAGTACACCCATATCAGAGCCTAACAGCTAAATATCAGCTCTGTAGATAATAGACCCTTACCAATATGGAGAAGCTCCTGTCAAAAAGAAAATTGTCTAACTAACTAAACAATAATAATTGAATATAAGAACTGAAAAAGAATTTAGAGATTATTGTTCAATAATTTATGCACTGTGATTCACAAAACCATTCAAGGAACAATTGCAGAGGATGGATGCCAAACAGAAACCCTGAGTAGACAGCCAGAGTAGCTCTGCTTTCATCACTTGGGCTTATGCATGAGATTTGGAACTTAAAATAATGGCTTCAAAGTTTTTATAAGTTTGAAAATAACTTACCTAATTCAAAGCTCTTATTTGCAGATGACAAAGACTAAACCAAAAATGTTGAATGACATTATCAAGGGCATCAGAAAGCAAATAAAACTAGGTCTTTTGATTCCCAAATCATTTCCTCCACAATTTGTACAAAGATATAATGTAATCACAAATCTCCTTAGAATAATCAAAGCAGGAGCGAAGTCCCACATAGCTAGGGCAGCAGCTTTGTGGGAATATTATTAACCCTGTCTGTTTCACAACATGTCACTTATTCCCCTACAGGAGACCTCTTATAATACAAACAGATGGCTTTTGTAAACATCTGTGCATACTAGCTATTGTCCATCTTTGCTTTCTCAACAAAAGAGCATGTATAGTCTCTTCATTAAGCATGAAAAACAAATCATTCATTCAATTAACCTACGTGCACTGAGCATACACTTTGTGTCAGGTACTGTGGATAAGGATTGAAAATACAATCCTTTTTCTTAAAAGACCCTCAGTCAAGGGAGGGGGGAATGACAAATACTATAAGTAAATTAACAACTATAATACAGTGTGGCAAGTGTCTAATATATTCATGCATAGGGGGTTATGAAAAAACAGAAGGAAATGACAAAATGAAAGCAAAACACAATTAAGTATAGGGAAAAGCTCCCAAAAAGAAATGATTCTCATGTCTTAAAAAAAACAAAAAATAAAATAAAATAAAATAAAATAAAAAAACGAGTCAGCACACAATAAGCATGTAAAAGATAGAACAATAGTTCAGTCAAAAAAAATAGCATATGCAATACATGGAGGTGTCATCATGGACAGAAAAGGAAGCTCCCCTATGGTTAAAGAATAAGGTGAAAGGCTAGAAGTAGTGAGGGATGGGGCTAGAGAAGTATGCCAAGGCCTAAGAAAGCAATCAGAAGACACAAACAAACACTAAGTAGGCAAGATAAGGTTAGCATTGCAGCAAAATCTCTCTCTTCAACTTGTGGAAGATGGATCAAGAGAACTACAGTTATCCAAAAACTCCTTAGGAAGCCAAAAGAATAGATGTGAGAGGGGTAACAAATTACTAAAGAAGGACAGTAGCAAATAACAACAGATCAGCTAACTGGATAAGGAAGACATTTAAGGAGTAGGATCCATAGAATATAGAGATGGTTGGACATAGGAAGTGAAGATGTGGAAGAGGAAAATGCCTCCCACTTTTTCAACCTAAGTTAATGGAGTGAACAGGTTCAACTTAATTCACTGAGATTTAGATAAAAGTTTATTTGACTAGAAAGTAGTTTTCAGGTTTTACTATTTTAAGTTTGACAGAACAGTGATAAAATAGGTATGGATTGTTAAGTTGGCTATTAAAAAATATCCTTTTATATTTCCAAAATGAGGCCAGATTAAGGATTTGAGTATTGTTGGTGGTTGAAACCATGAATGTATATAAAAGGACACAAGGAGAATGTTTAGTTTGAGGTGAGGATTAAGAAAAAGCCTTAAGTGACATAATTATTTTAGTGGAGGTACAGAAAGAGGAACCCACAAATGAAAGTGAGAAAGAATTGTTTAGCAGGGAAGAAAGAAAAAAAGAGAGACAGACAGAAAAGCCACCGAATCCCAGCAAGCTTTGTGTGCAGTAGGAAGGGATCTTAAAAGGTGGCTGATTCATCGATTCTCATTAGAACTAGAACAAATAGACTAGTTGCTTAAAACAACTAGAACAATACAACTATTTGTTTTCATTCATGCCAAAAAGCAACAGAAAGACTACTTTCAGATATGGAAGAATGCTGAAATAGCACCCACCTATATTATCTATTCAGGGGTGTCGAACTCAATCAGAGAAGGGGCCAAAATCTAAAATCCAGCCTAAATCGCGGGCCGAATGGTTTACTGAACAGTCATAAACTGACAATGTTAACCAGAAATGTGAATTTAAAATGAGTGGAACAATCTTTTCCTTAACAGTGCTGTTAACCAACTCACATGCTATCAAGCAAAACAGTAATATTGGTATCAAGCAAAACAGTAATATTGGAATGTACCTAAAATGCTCATTGTTTTGTTTTCTGGCTAGATGTCTGACACCGTTTTCCCCGGATCAATGAGTCAATGTTCGGTTTTATTTCTTGGGCTGTAGCAACCCGGAAAACAGCATGGAGGTTGTCATCGGTAATGCGTGATCTGTGCTTGTTTTTGTTCAGATTCATTATTGAAAACATCTGTTCACAAAGATAGGTGCTCCCGAACATGGATAGAATACGGGCAGCATGAAGTCGGAGCTCTGGCATTGAGTCAGGGGGCAGTAGAGGGTAGAAGTCCTCAATTTCAACATCCTAAAACCTTGATTTCAGGCCACTGTCAGACTGAAACTCGATTATCTCCATCTGAAGGTGATGGGGCACATTGTTGACATCAACTGTAAAAGGATTGGCAAAGATGTCAAAGCCTGAGTGCTGTGTTCTAAAGTCAGAGAAGCGCCGCTCAAATTCACTTAGTAAACGGCTAACTTTGGTAGCCAGCCGACTGCAAGGAAAAGTACCAGAAATAGTGGTTGAGATACTCAAACAAACGGGAAAGTGGGCAAGATTGTCCTGTTCCAGTTGGGATTTCCATAGTTGAAGTTTATGCTGGAATGCTGTGATCATGTCAGACATCTTCGTGATGACTTGTTTGCGTCCCTGCAGCTTCAGATTCAGTTGGGTGAGATGCTCGCATATGTCACACATCATAGCAAAATCACATAGCCAGGCGGGATCCGACAGTTTACTTTCCATGAAAAGAGCAATTTGTTCTCTGAGCTCAAAAAATCTTTTGAGGACTGCGCTCTTGCTCAGCCATCTTACTTCTGTGTGGTATGGCACGTCTCCATGCTCTGCACCCACCTCCTGTAAAAACTGCTGGAACTGGCAATGATTCAGGCCACGTGCCCGTATAAAGTTAATAGTTTTAATGACTGTGGTCATTATGTCATTCATGTCCAGAACTTTTCCACACATAGCCTCTTGGTGGATAATGCAATGATAAGTAATCAAGGGTGTGTGGCAGTGACTTTTTTGCATTCTTTCCTTCATTAGTCCAACCAAGCCTTTCTTTTCTCCGCACATTGAAGGTGCGCCATCGGTAGTTAGCCCCACCAACTTTTCATAGGGTAATTTAAAATTATTTATAGATTTCTCCACAGCCTCAAATATATCTCTACCAGTCGTCGTCCCATGCATGGCAGCTACATCCAAAAGTTCCTCAGTGACAGAGAGGTCGGTCTTCGTAGCACGTATAAAGATGGACAGCTGCACTGTATCAGTGTTGTCTGTGCTTTCATCGATAGCAAGTGAAAAAGCGAGATAACTGCATGCCTGTTCGGCCAGCTGTGATGATAGATTTCCTGAGAGTTCTTGAACTCTATCTGCAATGGTGTTTCTTGACAAACTGACATTTTGAAAACTCTGTATCTGGTCTGGGCATACTTGCTCACACACTTTTAGCATGCATTGCTTCAAAAAGGCACCCTCTGAAAAACACCTTGAAGTATGGGCAATTTCTTCAGCCATTATAAAGCTTGCTTTCACTGCAGCATCATTTTTTGCTGTAGCCTTTGTAAACATTTGCTGCTGTGATTGTAGTTTGCCTTTTAGTTCTTTAACAATTTTATGCTTTTCTTCCAAAGTATATTTGCCATACTTAACATTATGTTTGGTGTCAAAATGACGACGTATATTGTACTCTTTCATCACCGACACTGTCTCATAACACAATATACACACTGGTTTGCCCTCTCTAAGCACAAACATGTATTCATTTTCCCATTTGTCATTAAATTGTCTGCCTTCACAGTCAACTTTTCTTTTCCTGGACATTTTGGGATCAATATTGGCAGTAAAAGATGTAGTTTATTGGAAATCTGCGTTAGAAGGAAAAAGTTGAAAACTGCACAGGGATAGCTTGATTTGGCAGATGGAGTGGAGAAAAAAAAAGTCAGTCAATAAATGCCTGGCTGGGTACAGATAGCAGATTCTGTTGCGATTTTTATGCCTGCACTTTATGCCAGGAACTGGCAGCTTCTGCTGTGTATTTTTTATGCCCGCACACTCACTCTCTCCTCTGCTCTGCCACCCGCACAACCACATCGGATGCCGGACTATAGGTCACGCCTCCTGAATCTCACGTGACTTGTTATCTATGCGCATGCTTAATAGATAGCAAGTATGTTGGCTGGCGAGGCGGCCGGCGAGATCACAAGCCTCCTATGTCACCGCGCGTCATTGTGATGGAACGCAGCACAGTGCAGTGATGATAGCACGGTGCGGGCCACATTGCAAGGCCTGGGGGGCCGGATTTGGCCCGCGGGCCTTGTGTTTGACATGTGTGATCTATATAGATTAAGATAAATTTAAAAGGTATTATAGGAATCAATGGCATACTATTGAGATTATATAATAACCAAAAAAGGGAAAAATTATTAATCTTTCTTAGTTTTTAATAAAATTACAAAAGAGATACCAAAATTATAATAACACTAGAGGCCTGGTTCATGAAATTCATACACAGGTACGGTCCCCAGGCATGGCTGGTGATCAGGGCTGACCTGTGGGGTGACCAACAGGGCAATCAGGGGGCCCCCATTGGCACCTGCCATCAGTACCCATTCACAGGCCCCACCCCCTGCCACTGCCATCAGTAGCCTCCCTCCGTGAGGTGACCAGTGGAGCAAAAGGGGGCCCCTACTGGCACCTGCCTTGGCTGGCCTGAGGTCTGCAGGCTGGGGCAGTGCCTGCATTGAGCATCTGCCTCCTGGTGGTCAGTGCACATCATAGCACCTGGTCATTCTGCTGTTTGGTCGATTTGCATATTAGGCTTTTATTATATGGGATTGTAAAGTAAGCTTAATGTATAATGCTTTGTCAGATTCTAGAAAGAATGCCAACTAATTGACCTGGGGCTGTAGGCAATTTCTAGATGTGACTATTCTAGAGTCACAAAATTCCTAAGAAACAGGACAAAAGTCAGCTACATAGTTCCCTGGCACCATTTTCTGCTTTGGCCAAAATCATTTTTGATCCATTTATCTTTGATGTGCTCTGTTCCCACATTAATCTCCGGTAAACAGCTCTTAAATTTCTTCATATTGTCAGGTGGGACAAATTGGCTAGGGCCTGTAGTGGAAGGAAGTGGTCCCCCAAATCCTGTGACTTTACATCAATAGAAGTGGGAGTTGACATGGGAAGAACAGAAGGAGATATGTAGTCCGGAGGTTCTAGTCTTTCCAGTAACAGTGTCTGGAGAGCTTCTCCTCAAGCCAGCAGAGCCAGCAGAGAGCTATACTCAGTCTTAACACGAGACACAATAAAATTGACCGAAGTACCAAAATTCCAGAATAGAATCGAAGATGATTCATATGGGTCTATGAACAACTACTTAAAAACAGAGAGGGACCAAGGAGACCACACCCACCCCATTTACTTGCAAACAACAGGCACAGATACAACCTAAAATAGAATTGTTTATAATTAAGTTTAGAGAGAAAGCTTGGGATTTTTAAGGTTTGGTGACATTTTTTTTAAAAAAAGGAAACAATAGCATTTAAGTTATAGAAGAATAAGAACGTTTTTGAAAAAACTTTGTGGGGAACAATACATTTTAAACCACTGCGTATGCTCTCCAAAATTACACAAGATGTAATAAAACAAAAGATGAGAGGTGGGATAATAAGATAGGAGTTGGGAGGAGGGTGCTGGGTAGAAATATAAAGTAAGCAATATGAAGTAAATAAAAATTGGAGTGGGGGGACTAACAATGCAGGTGAAAAATCACATCTATGTTATAATAAGTAAAGAATAAAATCAAATAGGAAAATCAAATGCAAAGGGAACAGGAAAAATGATGAAGTTGACACAAATTAGTGCACAGAAGATACTCAAGGAAAGTATATTAATACTTTTAGTTTCTAAGTAACCAGTAATATTCAGAAATATAAAGGGATGAGGATTCTGAATTACAAAAGTCTAATTCTGAGATTAATAAAAAGCAAATAGCTCCTAGCATTTTCTAGTAAAAGTCCTTAAACTTGAGGGGTAGGAGGTGAACACAGGATATCCACAGGTAATAAGTGGGCTGAATTCAGACTTCTCTCACAATATTAAATGCCTAAAGAACATGGAATAATATGTATGAACTTCATAGAGAAGAAAGTTTTAACCTCAATATTTGTATTCACTTCATTATTGCAAAAAGTTAACATAAAGACATTTTTTGAATGTGGAAGGATGTTTAAATACCAACCACCTGTAATAACTTAACACATCGCAGAAACTCAAAAAGCATTAAAGGACATCAATGGAACTCAAAATATTAATGTATATTATCTAACATATAATAACTAGGAAAGGAAAGAAAAAAGTTCACCTACTTTTATTGTAAGTGTAACTGGCTTGCTGTTTTCTGGTATATCCTTTGGGTTAAACTTTGTTTCAATATCCCTTAGAAATTGTGGTTTCAAAATATATCCAGAACCACCATTATCCAAAAATTTCCCATTTTGAATGTCCATAGGCATACCAGGGGTCTGGAAATTTAAGGCCACTGTGAGATACAAAAAAAAAAAAAAAAGAAGAAAAGAAAAGAAAAAAAGATACCAAAAGAAAAAAAGTATTTTGACATGGACAGGAAATAGAATAGCTAAAATAAAAAATAAAAAAGTTAATAGATTTACTGAAACCTAATCATGGGTTATATATCTTCAAACATTTTAAGAGCAAGCCTTATTAGTCAAATCACAATTCATAATCATTTCCTCCTGCCATGTCTATATCAACATCTGAAGGTGAGTTTCAAAGTTTAATCTGTAAATTATTTTATAGTTTTGAGTCAAAGAATCAAAATGACACACAATATAGATTATAGAACAACTATCTACATGTCAGATAACAGCCAGTGAATATGAGAATAAAGAAAATCAGTACATTGCCCAAGCTGGTTTGGCTCAGTGGATAGAGAGTCGGCCTGCGGACTGAAAGGTCCAGGGTTTAATTCTGGTCAAGGGCACATTCCTAGGTGGCCGGCTCGATCCCCAGTAGGAGATGTGCAGGAGGCAGCTGATCTCTGGTTCTCATCATTGATGTTTCTATCTCTCTCTCCCTCTGACTTCCTCTCTGAAATCAATAAACAATAATAATAATAAAAAAAGAAAATCATACATTAAATGCCAGAAGGGAAGATACCAACTCTATCACAAACTTTCAGAGCAATAATGTTGTTAAAATATAGACACACACCCATATAAGCTGGTAAATAGCCACTATATGCAGTATCAACTTCCACCTTTCCCAACACTCCACCCCCACCATCCTGACCCTTCTCTCTGATCTCTCCAACAGTATAGGCCTTGCCACAGTCCAGTACCAAAAGGCTTAATACTTGTCACTGTTAGTACCAGTGCTATACCAGCTGGCCAGTTTGAAACAGGGCGAGTCTGATAAGGAAAAATAACAAAGCTACGCAATCTCATTCACTTTTCAACTATGAATGCAAAAGTTAGTGCAATGTGTAAAAGGTAGAGGTTACTTAATTTGAAGAGGCTCTTAGTAAATCTTTCAAGCGAAAGCCTTGGTCTTCACTCTTCTCTTACATCAATTTTGGTTTTCTTTTTCCCTTCCTACACTTCCCTTGCTAACTCTTGATAAATTTATTCCATGTCCCCAACTTTCTCCTAGACTTACCCTCTCTAACATGTTTAGGAGTAACTTCAACTCTTGAAACCAATGATTCATCATTATTGCTTAACTGCAAAACACCCAGAGCCAAAACAAAATCTTCAAAAGAAGCTTTTTTCAAGAATATTTTATTAATTTATAAAATTCATTTTATCTTTGCAAAAAACTCAATATCCTGTATAACATACCCATTTGACAACCTATATTCCAAAATTCTTGAGGATTAAAATTAGAAGAGTCTGCTCTTGTTGCTTTGGGATATATTCTGGTAATAAACTTCGTGTTGTGAAGAATAAAATCATGGGCTAAAAAATAAATTATTAAAACATTGTGAATTTTTAAAATAAATTAAATAAACTACTTTATATATATTATATATTTCCATAATAATTTCAATAATTCCTATATGTGTTATCTTCACAAAAACATTTGCAATTCATTTTAGTCAAAATAAATTTATGCCTTTGTATTTGACCATTATTAATTCACCATTATTAAGAAGGTAATAATTTATTACACAACTAGAGGTCTGGTGCACATAATTCGTGCAAGAGGGGAGGTGTCCTTCAGCCCAGCCTACACCCTCTTCAATCTGGGACCCCTTGAGGGGTGTCCGTCCACCCATTTAGGCCTGATCCTGGTGGACATCCCTCCCACAATCCAGAACTGCTGACTTCCCACTGCTCACCTGCCTCTGCCTGATTGCTCCTTCCCTACCAGCTTAATTGATGCCTAACTGCTCCCCAGCAGGCCTGATTGCCCTTAACTGCCCTCCCTTATCATCCTGGTCACCCCCACTGCCCTTTCCTGCCAGTCTGGTCACCTCTAACTATCCTACCCTGAAGGCCTGGTCACTCCCAACTGCCCTCCCATGCTGGCCTGGTCAATCCTAACTTCTCTCTCCTTATGGCCTGGTCACTCCTAACTGCCCTCCTTGCCAACTTGGTGACTCCTAACTGCCCTCCTCCTCCAGCCTGATTGCCCCCAACTGCCCTCCCCTGCTGGCCTAATCTCCCCAACTACCCTCTACTGTTGGCCTGTTCACTCCTAACTGCCCTTCCTGCTGGCCTGATTGCCCACAATTGCTCTCCCCTGCAGGCCTGGTCCTCCCAACTGCCCACCCCTACAGTCCTGGTACCCCCCCAGCTGCCTTCCCCTGCTTACCTGGTTTCCCCCAACTGCCCTCTCTGCTGACCCAGTCACCCCTAACTGCCTTCCCTACTTGCCTGATCACCCACATCTGCTCTCTCCTGTAGGGCTGGTCCCCCCCAAACTGCCCTCCACTGGCATTCTGGTACCCCACAACTGCCTTCCCCCTGCAGGTCTGGGTCCACCCCAACTGCCCTCCCTTGCTTGCCTGGTCACCCCTAACTGCCCACAGCTGCCCTCCCCTGCAGGTTATCTTGTGGTGTCCATCTTATGTCCACATGAGGGCAGTCATCTTTGACCACATGGGGACAGCTATCTTGTGTCTTGGAGTGATGGTCAATTTGCATATTACTCTTTTATTAGATAGGATTTTATGCACACTAATCATTCACCTGAGAAAAAGTGATTAGATAGCATGTTTGGGGATTTTTTTTTTTTTGGGGGGGGGGCCTACATCCAAATTAATTTCACTTTGACATAAGGATATATAAAATTCCAAAATAAAAACACATCCATTTTTAAAAAGCAGTATTATTCCAGATTTTGCCTTACTTTGATTTTCATACTAGGACATAATCACACATAAGTCATATAAAGCTATATGATGCTATTATTAATTCAGTTGAATATTTAATAGATTCTCAGGGTTGAATGAGACTTTAAAGTTATCCAATCCAGCTTTCAGTCCCAACCAATACTACATCTTCCCCAAAAATTCATTCCATTTCTGTTTGTATCCTTCCACTCGAAAAAAAAATGCTACCTCCCAATGTTTCTGATTATTTCAATTGTTTTTTCTACTGAGATAAGGTCTATACCTATAGTGTACATTAACACATACACATACTTTGTTTGAATTTATATATTTTTTGTTTCTACTCATATATTCTTTATGTTTCTATTTTTACTTCTTGACACTTTATTTTTTTATTTCAACCATTTTTTTTAATTTTGCAATTTTATTTGACATATAATATTATATTACTTTCAGGCATATACCCCAATGATTGGACATTATATAATGAACTAAGTAATCATCCTGATAAATCTTATATCCACCTGACACCATATTTATTAGAATTTTATTGGCTATATTTTCTATACTGTATTTTACATCTTCATGACTATCCTGTAATAATCAATTTGTACTTCTTAATCCCTTCACCTTCATATATTCTATTTAAATTACTTGAGATGCAAAACAAATTTACACCCTCTACCGCTGGACACTCCTTTAAAAATTTTTAACACAATTTTATGTTTCTCTGAGATACCTATTCTATCTAATATGGTGACCAGTTATGGGATAAATGATTAATGCCTATAGCCCACTGTGTTTGCTAGCCAACTAGAACAGGTCTATTGCCATATCATCCTGAATATTATTCTTTAAGAAGCATTATCAAGCAAAGAAAAAAAAATAGTAACTAAAGTTAACACTAATTACAGTTAACTTCATCAGCTCTCATTTTTAGAAGTTATACACTCTTTGAGACAAAGTGTATTTTGAAGCTACTTATATATAAATGCATGTGCATTCCAGTATCATGATTCCAGCTAGATGTTCTTCTGGGCCTAAATTTTTCTCATCTACAAAGCAATAAGAATGAATAATCACCATAGACTCTTAACATAATATGCTTTTGTTACTTTTTAGATTGAACTTTAGAAATAAAAATATGTTGTTATTATTAATGCAATTCATCTTCATTTTAGATAAATGAAAAAATCAAATTTTAAAAATAAGAAATAAAACCATATATAATCTTTTCACTAAAACAATAACCACTGATAACATCTTGGTATAAATATTTCCATTCTTTTGTCATATGTTCATGTTAATTTTTAATTGAATCATATTTTTATTCCCTTTTATGAACTTATTTTTATTTACTAAAATAACATGAAAATCATTCCACTTCAATAATATTCACCTACCATGTATGGACATTTCTGTTTCTTATTTTTCCTTTTTATAAACCTAACTAGAGGCCCGGTGCACAAACTTCGTGCAATGGAGGGGAGGAGGCTCTCTCAGCCCAGCCTATGCCCTCTCGCAGTCTGGAACCTCTTGGGGAATGTCTGCCTACTGGCTTAGGCCTGCTCCCCGCATAGTCGGGGACCCCTCACTCCTTACTGCGTGCCTGTTTGCTCCTCCTTGCTGCTCAGCTCACTGCTCCTTAGCACTGCTACAGAGGCAGGAGAGGCTCCGCCACTGCTGCAGCACTCGCTAGCCATGAGCTCAGTTTCCGGCTGAGCAGCACTCCCAGAGTGCACTGACCACCAGTGGGCAGCTCCCATGCTGAGTGTCTGCCCCCTGATGGTCAGTGCACCTGGTTGTCCTGCCTAAGCAGTCACTTAGCCTTTTATTATATAAATGTTTATTATGTTTTTAATAATGATGAACATCCCTGCAATACACCTTTGCCTATATCTCTAATTTTTTACTATTGACTCTGGGTTCAAGAAAAACGCTCTATACTCTAACCTAGGGGTGTCGAACTCAATCAGAGAAGGGGCCAAAATCTAAAATCCAGCCTAAATCGCGGGCCGAATGGTTTACTGAACAGTCATAAACTGTCATTGTGATGGAAACGCAGCGGAGTGCAGTGATGACAGCGTGGTGCGGGCCACATTGCAAGGCCTGGCGGGACAGATTTGGCCCGCAGGCCTTGTGTTTGACACATGTGCTCTAACCAAAGAAATGGTGATCCTACACTTATTAAATCTACTCAGAATTACCCAGTCCCTTTTCAGTGTTTGAGCAAGTGTTAAATATAATGAGAGTGAGAGAATTATTACTACTTTTGTTGTACCTAAAGGTCCTGTCCCTATGAACAACAATAGAGAACATTCAATTGTTTGGAAGGACAGGGAACAATAAAGTAGATCATTCAAATTCAAACACTGCTGACAAGACTTTATAGTGAAAAATATATTTGTATCACAACCCAACACATACACAATTACAGTTTGTAAATAAAATCCTTGTTCTCACTACAGACATATATTACATTACATTACTTTAACTTTGGTCCATGCCTACTATCTGCAATTTAAAAACCAAAACATCCAAGATCTATAATATTCAGGGTCTTTCTAGTAGGAAGTTTAAGGAGTTGAGCTAAAATATACCTCCAAATTCATGGGTACCAATGGCCAGCCTAATGAGGTTAACCAACAAATATATCAAAATCCACATTTCCAAACAGCCAACAGCCTTCCTCAAGTCAGTTGCAGGTGCTGATACTTACACAAGGTGGTAGGCTGCAATTTCTCAGAAGCACGTTGAGTTAGCGACTCATCCCCTTTTAAGGTGAGGATATTCCCTGCCATATAAGTCTAAGAAGAGGGTAGGTTCTGCTTCCCATTGTGTTTCCCAGGCTATGTTGCATCTGGGCTCTACCAAACAGAATAACCCACCTCAAATTTAGAATGAGAACACACCAGAAATCATGTAATTCCTGAGATTTCAACCTTCTCCTGCTCCCCTTTGATTTCAGGACAAAGTTCATGTTACTTGTTATTTTGGTTCTGCCTTTCTGTGCAGAATTGTCACTCTCTGCCCTCCCATGTAAACCACTCACCACAGCCCCAGCCACCAATGTGTCCACACTAAACAGGCTCAATCAAAATGTAATGATATAAAGAAGTTGACTATTGGTTGAGTTTTGTGAAATAAACTTAATGTACTTGAGGCATATAACCTTTTGAAAATATACTAAATATGTTGAAATTTTATGAGGATGTAATTTTTAGAAATTCCATTGATCTATCTTGGGACCTTTGCATTGAATATAACAACAGTTAAACATTTCATCTCTTTGAACCATAGGAATTTACCTTTTAACTTGGAAAGTTTCCGAGCTCTTCTCTCCTCAATAGAATTAGTTTCATAGAATTGTTGATTGTTTCTTGAATAGCTAAAGTTTCTGAACTTCTCAGCTTTAGTATAAATGACAAGATCAGAGAGGGCCACAGCCACTTTTATCTTCAAGGTGTAAAAATAAAACAGTAATTTCACATTTTTTGCACTATTTGAATTTTTTTCCAAAAGAGAAAATATTCAATCAACAATTTGGGTCTTTTCATAAGATTATCTCCTCAAAAACTATTTGAATTGGGTCAATGTAATTATATTTTATGATGGTACTTAATGTTCAGATGAAGTAGCTCAAACCTAAAAATCCAGTTAATGTAACTGTTATTTTCTTTTTCCCAAAGACTTCAGTTTGCTGTCATGAATTTGCAAATTTAGGAATTTTAGTCCTGAGTAAGTCATATTTCCAGGATGATATAACATCTTGGAGTAACTCCTATTGTAAAGTGTACATTGGCTCTTTTACAGCCCTGAATCTATATGCTCTATCCTTCTGTTAGCCTCTTTCCAAGTTTTGTTTGGGGAAAACATTTTATGCTCATACTAAATCTTTGTGCTTAAGTATCGATAATATGAACTGGGCCTGCCTAATCAAAGCTTTGCCTTCCATAACAACACTAATAGGTTCAGGGATGTGCAAATAACTGGGTCAGAGCCAAAATGCAAAAAGAATTTGCTTGGTCATCTGAGGACAGATGGGCCTTCCACTGAAAGCAGATACAGTCTTGTACCAAAATGGGGAAAGTGAGTCTAAAGTTGGAGGGAAAAAAACAAAGTTGTGTGGACTTTGCTAGAAAAATGATACCAAATCATTCCTGACAATAGCATCCCTTCCCCTAAACTTTTCATTTATGTAGGGTAATTAATTAATTCCACAAAAATTAATAACTTTTACTTAAAGCAGACAAATTTGTTTCTATCACTTGCAAGCTGATATGCCTTCTTGTATCATGTTAATTTGTATACTTATAATACTACTAGAGGCCCGGTGCATAAAATTCATGCACGGGTAGGATTCCTAGGCCTGGCCAGTGATAAGGGCCCATCTGTGGGGTGACTATTGGGATAATCAGAGGCCCCTGCTGGCAGCCCCCTTGGCCAGCCAGGTGCTACCCCCTCACTGGCCGGCCCCTCCCCACCCCTCTACCACCACCTGCTCGCCAGGGTGACCTGCAGGGCGATCAGGGAGCCCCCTGCTGGAACCCGCCTTGGCTGGCCTGGAGCCTGCAGGCTTGGGGCAGCTCCTGCATTAAGCATATGCCCCGTGGTGATCAGAGCACATCATAGTGACAGGTCATTTCACTAGTCATTCCAAGGTTCAGCTGATTTGCATATTAGGCTTTTATTATATAGGATATTTTACAAAGAATGTTTTCTTATCTCTGACAGTCTGATCTTCTTGAAGGCAGAGACATTATATTGTTTGTATCTTTTGTACACTGCACAATGCCTAGCACATAATATTTGTCACTATAGAGAAAGAGATTAAAACAACAGGAAGAGAGATAACTTTTAAAAATTATTTTCTACTGCTAATTTTTCCCAAAATAATTGAATGATAAACTAAAGTTTTTTTATAAGGAGAAAAATATTTGTCTAAAAAATTTTTTTTAATTCTCCACCAGTAAGAAAATAAAACAACTTTTTAATCACTTGTAAGATTTTCTCAAATCATGGTCTCACCTTCTTTTTTCTGAAAAGTGACAATCTAAGTGAAATCTTTGACTCTTTTTCCTTTACTGGATTGTTTGTTAGAATATCCAATGATCTTGAACTTTTGACTTTGTCCACTTCCTCTTCATCATCTACATCTTCATATTCTTCATATTCCTCTACTTCACCATGCTTTTCCAAACCTCTCCTTGCATGGCTTTCTATTTTCTTGTTTCTAACTAATATTTTAAATTTTAATGCCTACAGAGACAATTTGAAAGACAGATACAATTACACATTTACAGGTAAGTTTGCATTTGTAACAGTCATTGGCAAGTCTTTCATAAGATTTGTAGTTAGGTCACAGTAGTAACACATGTAAGAGCTCCATCTTCCCCATACCTATATAGGTACCCTAATAGACACCAGTAATATTATAGCATTGACCAAAATTCACCAAAAAGTAAGTCTGTTATGATTTTTGTAGATTTTCTGACTTCAAAATTAGAGAATCAGAATCCTGAGTTGTGAGACTGGAATATGCCTCTTTAACAAGTCTCTAGGCATTTTTTTTTTACATTGCAGTATAATAAAATCACTTTATCTTAATTCCTTATTTATTCATTGGAAAGCATTTCCTTACTTTAGTATGGAAGCAAAAACTTTAATGAATACGTATATCCAAATGCTAAAAATGAATTTATAAATAATAGGAGGAATTCTATTCCTATAAAGCTAAAATTATCATAACTTACTGAATTATATCATGATTCTTATACTAAATATTTCATGGTGTTTTCAGCACTTTGCACAAGTTATTTAGTGTTTATTTTCTGTCACTATTGGACAAATTTAGCCTGTGGGCATTATTATGAGGTGAAAGTTTTTCCACATGTTCAGTTTCTTTTGTCTGTCTCAATTCTATCATGAGCCCTGTGCTCTTGTCAAAACACTTTCATCTTTAGATTTTTCACTCAGTTAAATAAAATGAGTAAAAAATATAAAGGGTGATATTCAAATATTACAAAAAAAAAAGTCTGTTCTGTACCAAAATGATGACATAGCAAAATTAAACTCTTTGTTGTTAAACAATACTATCATGCAAAAATAAATAAATAAATAAATAAATAAATAAATAAATAAATAAACAAATTCATTTATCATCTGGTAAAAATTGGGGCCAGCAAAGGACACTAAGAAGGAAGGGCCAGAGAAGAATGAAGAAAGCCTCAAAAGTGTGGAGTTAACACAAGAAAGTGCTTTAAGGAAAGGAAGGAGGCATCCCCGATGTTTAACGCTGTCAAGGGAATAAATCAGATAAAGACTGAAATAGGTCCATTAGAATTTATCATTAGGAAAGTATTCAATGACCTAACTGAGATATTTACTACAGTGCAGTTGCAAGAGGAAGCCTGATTAGGTAGGTTGTGAGGAAATGAGAAAGTGAAAAATTTGGTTGTTAAGACCAGGAATAATAAAATAAAATAAATAGCTGAAAATCAAACTGAAATCCCGAGGATACGATTGGCAGGGGGGGGGGGGGGGCCTTTTTTACACCAAAGTCTAGCATATGCTCAACTGAACATGAAAAGGGACCCATAGAGACAGTTACATTGAGCAGATTAAGAGAGAGAACCTGCCACCCAGGTGCTGAGGTATTGGGCTGAGATTGTGAGGATAAATACAAAGACATTTCAATTTGTACACAATTCTTAACAGACAAAATATATTCACCTAAATGCTCATAGAAATATTTCTAAGCAACACCTTGCAAAGATACACCTCTACAAATAATCAAATGTAAGCATTTTCAATTATCTTTAACCCAGTTTCATGAACCAATAGCATAGTGACATATTTTTTTTTTTTTATCTTAACCTGAGCTTCTCAAATAAAATGTTACCTCTGGTGAAGGTAGTTTGTCTGAAAAATCATCAAGCATATCAGACAGCAAGGTATCTCCCAACACAGTCTGCAAAATGTCTGCTAACACTTCTTGTTGGGAAGGGGAGCAGTGATTTTCTAAAGAGAGCACCACTGGGTAGTCAGATGTCTAAAAAATTAACCATTGCTACAGTTATTTCTCAGAACTCCTTAATAACTTTAATGTAATTAAAAGAAGCACTTAATCTATTTTACTCCTTACATCTAATGTTCAGTACCTTTGGAAAATAATTATTTTTTAAACCGAAAGTACTTTTAAGTTTGTCAAATCAGAGAACATTAAATCAGAAAAGAAAAATGATTACTATTTGCACCAGAAGTATAGGGAACAACTGAAGCATACAACAACAGGTACTCATTTAAATCAATAATGGCATATTCACTTAAAGAAATAATATAGATTGGTTAAGAAGGAGTGCAAAAAAAAAAAAAAAAAGGAGGTGCAGCTATACACTAGCACACTGCTGTAGAAATATCTCTATCGTACAGTCTTATGAAGAAAAGCAGTTGCCAGAGAATATGAGGCTACACTTTTATTTTTCAAAGTACATATGTATGCGTTTATTTATATGTGTTTAAATGGGAGGGGAAAACTTTAACACTACTAAGTTAAGGAAAATGTTAATTTTCTACTTTTTCCATTTTAAATGCTAAAATCAAAACTTGTTGTTTTATCATTTAAAACAACGATAAAGATATTTCTAGTTTTTAATAACAGAGGAGATATATTAAAGAAGGGTGACTCTATAAAGACATATTCTGACCTTTCTCACCACTGTAAATTTGAAATTTGCTACAAAATAGAGAGCATCACTCACTTTTGGATCTTATTCAAAATTATTTTGTCTCAATCGCTTCTCGGCCTTTTGGCTAAGATCAAGTGCAAAATTATTTTGTCTCCATATATGATCATCAGGACACAAATTCACCAACTTTATAAGCAAGCCAGGGAATTACAGGGTCTGCTGCATTATCCCAGACATTTAAATAGGATATATATTAGACCTTTTTAATGGATCAGAATCTTACTTTCTTGCTGCTGCTGTAACAGATTACTACAAACTTGGTTGCTTGAAACAACAGAAATGTATTCTCTCACAACTCTGGAGGCCAAAATTTTAAAATCCGTTTCCCTGGCTAAAAAAAAAAAAATATTTCAAAGTATCAACAGGCTCTAAGGCAAATCTGTTCTTTCTCTCTTTCAGCTTCAGGTGTTGCCAACATTCCTTGGCTTGTGACCCTATCACTCCAGTCTCTGCCCTCCTTCCCCTGTGTCTTCACAGGGCTTCCTCCCCTATATGCTTGAAATCTCCCTCTGTCTCCCCCATAAGGATACATATGATGGCATTTAGGGCCCAAACAGATAATCCAGGACTTAAAAAAATCCTTTCATTCAAATTCTTTAGCTTTATCACATTAGTAAATACCCCTTTTTGTAAACAGAGTAGCATGTAGAGGTTCCAAAAATGAGAACCTCATTTCCTCAGGGTCCTCTATTCAGCCTATTATAATATACGTTCTTATACACACATAGGTAGACTCCATCTAATATTAAGAGGACATGTAGAAATTTTCCAAAAATAAAAAATGATTTTGAAGCTAGGCAAAGTGTTAGCTTAGCACCGTGGTCGACAAACTGCGATTCGTGAACCACATGTGGCTCTTTGGCCCCTTGAGTGTGGCTCTTCCACAAAATACCACAGCCTGAGTGAGTCTATTTTGAAGAAGTGGCTTTAGAAGAAGTTTAAGTTTAAAAAAATTGGCTCTCAAAAGAAATTTCAATTGTTGTACTGTTGATATTTGGCTCTGTTGACTAATGAGTTTGCTGACCACTGACCTAGCACATGGGAAAAGCTTTTTTTTTTTTTTTTTTTTTTTTTTCCTGTGGTGGCCTTGGCTCTAACCTCTGGAAAGGTCCTCTTGTCTTTTATCCTTCTTGGCCACATCTAAAGCAAGTATTGAAGAGTTTGCTTTTCTTAGAGCCCACTTCTAGACCCAGGGTTGTTTTCATGCTCACCTGTGTCACTCTTGTGTTTTGTTTTGGTTTTGACAATATTAAAAATTAGTTTCTTATGTATTTGCCTCTAAATAAGTTACATGTGCCAATATCTATGCCCAAAATTATGTCCTCAATCAAGTTACCAAATCTACTTTGTTTCATTGCTATCTCTTTCCCAAATTAATGGTAGAAAATCCAACCTTCAACCTCATCTTTGCCACAAAATTGAGTTACGCTGTTCAATTGAGAAAGGTCTTTGAGTCTTGATGCTCAAAGCCTTTTTTTCATTTTGTCTCCTTCTCTTTGGAATCTTAGAAGCTGTAAGGGTTTCCATTCCTTGTAAGATCTTTGACTTTTAAGATTGTCTCTTTTTCTTTTTCTTTTTTTCCCTTCGTTACCCATCCTGGATTAAGTGAGAGGGTTTGCTATACAAATATTTGGAAGAAGTATTTCAGATTAATGGTTAACATTGCAAGTTCAAAGGCTTTGAGACATGTCTGAAAAGGAGTAAGAAGACCAGAATAGACGAGCAAACAAGGGAGAAAGGCCAAAGGATAGGAGAGATAATAGAAAACAAAGGATATAGGGTTTGGAGAGTCCCAGTATAGACTGTAGCTTTCATTCTGAGTGAGACTGAGTTTTGAGAAGGGGAATGACATGATTTGACTTATCAAAAAGTCACTCTGGCTGATACATTGGGATGAAACTGCAGGGAAGGAAGAAGAAAGAACATTGGATATGAATTCAAATAATTCATGAGAGAGGGGATGGTGGTTGACCAGGACAGTGACAATGAGAATGGGAAGAAGGGATTAAAGAAAGTAGAGCCAATAGGACTTGCTAAAAAACTGACTGAGATGTAGGAGAAAAGGAGGAGAGAGTTAAAGTTGGCAATAATGATTTATTTTAGGCTTAAATACATAGAAGCAGTTGGTCCAAATGTTGTGGGTTATTGTTAAGCTGATTAAATACATAGAAGTTACCATTTAATGAAATTGGGAAGACCATGAAAAGAGTGGACTGGCAGAAAGAGGAATATCTGGAGCTCAAATCTAAATACCTTATGTTAAATATGCCTATTACATATGCAAGTAGAATGTGTGTGTGTAGTTGTCTGTATTGGTATAGAGTTCAAGCAGGAAGTTAGGATAAAGATAAAAATTTAGAATTATTAGAAATTGTATGTTTAAGAAAATCAACGCCATTCATCAACATTTTAAATTAAGAAGTTTTTTATATTTTTATTTTGTGAATATTTACTTACCTTATACTATATTTCTAATAAACAATACAACAATTTATTTAAATTTTTTATGTTTATTTTTAATACTTTTTATTTTTATTGATTTTAGAGAGGAAGGGAGGAGAGAGAGAGAAACATCAATGATGAGAGAGAACCATTGATTGGCTGCCTCCTGCAAGCTTCCTACTGGGGATTGAGTCCAAAATCCAGGCATGTGTCCCTGACCAGAATCAAACCTGGAACCCCTCAGTCTGCAGGCCAATGTTCTATCCATTGAGCAAACCAGTCAGGGAAAGTTATGTTTATTTTTATAATTAATACACTGATCTAGTTAAGAGAACTTTAAATTTATCAAATTTATGTTTAATTTAATAGATATGCATTACTTTATTAGATATACATTAAGTATTCAGTAAGATTAGATTAAATATCTTCAATTTTACAACATTTGAACTACTTAAGAAAGAAATAAAATATATTCAGTTAACAAAAACAATTTAAAAATATATAAAGATGCGTAATTAGCCAAGTTTGTAAATGGGGCCAAGTATTCAAAACTGAGCAATTATTAAAGCATACCCAATTTATAGACTAGGATTTATAAACTGACTTTAGACACTCTAGAAAGAACTGGATCTTTGAATCTAGCTTTAACAATTGAATAGTAATTTTAAAATCCAAAATAAACTTCTAAACATTTTTGCTGTAGAAATGGTTGCCATTTGCCCAGCCATTGTGCCTCAGTGGTTGAGCATAAACCCATGCACCAGGAGGTCACTAATTCGATTCCTGGTCAGGGCATTCCTGGGTTGCAGGCTCATTCCCCAGTATGGGACATGCAGGAGGTAGCCAATCAATGTTTCAATATTTCTCTCATTGATGTTTCTCTCTCTCTCTCTCCACCTTCTTCTCTATTTAAAATCAATAAAAAGATATTTTAATTAAATAGTTGCCACCATAGTCATTACAAAAGTCAACAATGGAGATAACACATTTTAACACTTTTTATTTTTGTATCTTGAAAGTAAAATAGTTGAATGTTTGTAAAATATTTATTAATTATATAATACTATTATATAGAAAAATATTTCTCAAACTTTTTTCATACATTAAGAAATATATTTATGATGAAATAAACATACATATTATATAATTACACAAAAAGTTCCATGAAACATGTACCTTACTACTGGAGATTAACTTTGATAAAACTATCATTTTACTATATACTGCATAAATTTCACTGACTACTAATGGACCATAACCCATGATTTGAAATATCACTAATCCAAACTAATGCCAAGGATCATAGAATTTTGAAACATGTAAATTATGTTGCGTTTAAATATAATTTAATAAAGATACGCACGTACTATGAATGCATATTTATGTATAGCTTGAATAACAGTTTTAAACAAGAGTTTGCTGGTGAGTGTATAACCATGGTACACAACAGGTTCATTTTGTGATCCATCCCAGCAATCAATTTCGAGACACCGGCATCCTTTCACAAGGGCACTAGCAAAATGTAAAGAAAATAAATAGTCATTCCTGGATCTTTAAAAATGTTAAAGTGTCCCAAAGACTACTTGCAAAAAAATTAAAAATAAATTTGTAAATGAATTCATAACAAAGTTGTTGTGTTGAACTGAATACACTTTTCTTCTTTACTGTGAGCATGGCCTAACATGGAGCAACAATGGGCCAACCACAGTTCCAGCACCACCAAGAGGGTGCCATGGGTAGGGCCATGGACTCTGACTCCTGCAATTTCTACCTATTACTTATTCATTAAGTTTGATATGTCTCATAGAAAATGTATGATATACAGCTCACTATCAATAAATATTTATTGTCACACTACCTTGTTTGGCTAAGTGGATAGAGCATTGGCCTGTAGATGTAAATGTCCCAGGTTTGATTCTGCTCAAAGGCACATGCCCCAGGTTGTGGGCTCCTCCCCAGAGGGGGGTGTGCAGGAGGCAGCCAATCAATGACTCTCTCTCATCATTGATGTTTCTCTCTCTCTCCTCCTCCCTTCCTCTCTGAAATCAATAAAAATATATTAAATAAATAAATATATATTTATTGTGTTTATATTAGAAAAACTGAGAGTTATAGGTATGTAAGAAGAAAATGGAAGGCAGACAAAAGTGATCCTCTAAACAAAGTCTTGGAAGACAGACGAATGAATAAAAAGAAGCTGATTTGAAACATCAGAATCTTAGACGTGATACTCATGTATCAGGGAGATGGTTCTAAAAAAAGGTCCCTGCCATACATGAAGACATTTTTCCCATGGAAAACCAAGTTAGCATTTGTTTTCCAAAACAAATAATTTAGCCCACTGTGTCCAGGCCAGCAGTTCTCAATCAGGACAATTTTGGCTCGTAGGCAACATTTGACGTTGTGTGGAGACATTTTTTGTTACCATAACAAAAAATGAGGTTTGTGACTGGCATCTGGAGGGTAGAGGTCAGGAATGCTGGTAAACAAAGAATTATCTCACACAAAATGTGAAGAATGTGAGAAACGTTTCCCTGAGGCATAAAAACCTGCAGAAGAGAGTGTGGTCCCAGCATAAAGTATTTGATGTAGAATCAGTGATTCTTTCAACAGAAATACAGAGTTTCGAATAAACCACTCACAAAAAAAATAGATATTTTAGATCTAGTATTTCTTTGGGGATCATTTTAGTCAACTTTTTAGGGAGATGACTCCAACAATATTTAAGTAGGAGTGTAACTGAGGAAAGACAAAGCAATTATGACATTGAAGTTGAGGTGATGAATTCAAGGGGAAAACAAAGGAGAGGGGTGGGGGGGAAAGGACCTTATGTTCCTTTGGGAATAACAAAAAAGTGAAAGTGACCTGAGGAGGTAAGGCATTAAAGGGGAAGATAATTAATAAATTTTATTTATATTGCAGGCTTCACTAAAGCAATATAGAGCTAAATAGTTCATACATTATTTGTTGAGGCTTTGGGGTGGTTTGCTTTTTAAGACCACTTTGTCTTACTTTTTAAGTGCTCACTGCTTTATTCAGGCATATAGAGATGCACTGTAATGTAAAATCTCAGTGTCTTAGTCCACTTGTCCCATTGTTGGAGGAATAACTTGAGAACCCTCTTCTAAGAAAGTCTTGTTTGACCCACTGGTAGTGACTTAGGCAAATAAGGTGGCCACCTAATTTTAAGTACAAGTTCTAAAATGGGCTACGTGTGTAGAAATCAAACTGAATCTATTTCTCAGCTCTTGTGTTTGTTTATTTGGATTTTAAATTGTAGAGTGATCAATATCTGTTAGTAAAGTTTGGTAATTTCCAAAAAAGAATGTTTGTTATGCCCTCCTCTCAGTTGATTGTCAAAGTATATTTCTTGCCCAGTTTATCAACACAGATATCAGTTGCTTGGGGTGCTAACAGAGAATAATCTTGAACTCTCTATTGGGAAAATAAAAGACAAAAAAAAAAACTATCAAAAATTCAGTTGTGGAAGAAAACTTTTCATGAATGACAACCTTCCTAATATTGATTGTTGCTACATACTTCTCTCGATAGTTCTGATTTCAATCTTGGATCCAAACAACCTTTACCAAACTACATAAGTTGACTCCGTGATATGAGTTACTCAGAGGAATATACAAGAAAGTATGTAAGAGAAAGTCTCCTCCAGTGGTGAAGCCACTTTCTACTATTTCACATTGACCCCTTTTCGGGGAATGAATAATGAAAATTACCGTCTCTGTATAGAAATGCTCCACTTACATAAGTTTAAGGGACTTTATGTGGATTAAAATGTTCAATGCTATTAGGACAGTTTTTATTAGTTTTTCTCTTTTAAAGATGAGGCAATTAAACACAAGGACTTTATATTTGTCACATAATTAACAAATGAGAAAAAGTGAGGAAAGATAAGTACCAGAAACTTAAACATTATTAGGTAAGCATTACATTACCCCACCTCTCATGAGTAGAGAAATTTTAAAAGAATTGTCTTCTAAAATGATCTAAAATGATATCTACCACAGTGGATAGAGAAATAGAGGAAGAAATGCAATTAAATTTAAATTTAAATATTCAGTTGTGTGCAACATATTCTTGGAATTCAAAAATAATTATATTTCTAAATCAACCTGTTTAAAAATTATATTTTTAATTAAAATAATAAAGTATAAATAGAAAATTCTATAATGAACGTATAGCTATGAGTTGGGCTATTCTTACAGAATTCTAAGTGGATACACTTCTGAGTTTGTAAAGTTATGTATTTACTTAGGTTTTAAATTGGAGAAACAATTTAACTGGGAAAAGGAGGTCAGCAGGCAGAATTAGGAGAAAAGTGAAAAATTACATAGTCTCCAAGATATGTGCAAATCAAAATGGCTCTTCCCTATGTGATTGCCTAATATGTACAGCCTGCTTTTACTGTGAATTCCCACCAATGGAGGCAGACATCAGAGGGAACTTGAAAGGGTTTTAAAATGCAATAAACTTAAAAATCCAAATAAATACCTTTCATATCCCCAAATGTCACTTGGCCCTATTAGTTGGTCAGATATCAAGTATGTATTATGTGAACTTGAGATAAAATAATCATTTAATGGATGGTGCATATCTTGATAAACATTATTAAATTCTTTACTAAATAGTAGGAATTCAGATGAATTCAGGAATCTTGTAAAACCTTCAAATGTCATCTGCCTTGCTTGCTTAACTATAAAAAAAAAGAAGTAAAAAGGTGTAGTAATATCATTAGCAATATAAACATTATATTCCACTTTAAAACATATTCAGTAATAGAGCATGTTTCTAAAATATTCATTTAGAATTAACATTAATACTATTTTTTGTCTCTGGAAATAAATTTTTCTAAGTAATACCCTTAATTCTTCAATGTTCAAGCAGAGAATGTATTATTCAATTATCTCTGATTGTTTTAATGTATTAAAAATATATACAAGTACAAATGTCATAGATCAATGAATTTCCTCAAGCTAAACATCTAGCTAACAAGCACCCAGGTCATAGGTCACAACATTAGAGCCCCCCAAAAGCTTGCTTCCTGCTAACATTCAATCACTCCCACAACCCACCCAAGGATATTCAATGGTCTAGCTTCTAACAGCATATCTTTGTTGTCTCTTGGTTTTGTGCTTTCTATGAATGATGTCATACAGTTTGTATTTTGTGACTGGTTTATCTTACTCAACATCATTTCTAAGATTTATTCTTTCAGTTAGACATTGTTTGTTCCCATACTATTCCCATAGTATTCCATTGGGTGATTACACCACAATTTATCTATGGATTCTATTTTTGATGAGCATTTTGATAATTTCCAGTTTGGGGCTATTACAAAAAGTGCTGCTATAAATAATCAGTACCTGTCTTTTGACACAAATGCTTAATATCGAATTGTTGGATCTTTTGTATATTACCAGCTTCAGTAAGTTATCTCTAAACTTTTATACACTGTATGGTCTATACCAAAATTACCTATTTAAGCAGAACACTGGCTCTGGAATAAGACAGCTTAGGTTAAACCTATTCACTTGTTATGTAATGAGAATGTTATTTAACTTCCTCCTATGTTTGGAATGATGGTAATGAGAGTACTTATCCTATATATGAGTTCTAAGTAGGTTGCTGTTGTTTTTTGTGGTTAATAATTCAGTTCATCCAAAATAAGAGCTGGTGTGGATATTTGCTTTAGACTAGAGAATGATCCTTAGCAAAGAATTTTATCACCAGGAATTCATACTATAGAAATAAAGAGTCAAACAAAGATCAGTGTGCAAGAATGCTCACACTAGCATTATTTATAAGTGCTTAATAAGAGAAGGAAACAAATTAAAGCCCAAGATACAATACAATACTAAACAACCTTTAAAAATAATGTATCAGAAAAAATATATATAGTGACAAAAGTAAATGTTTATGATATCGTAACAATGAAAAACCTAGCATTCAAAAATACTATCACCATTTTAGTATAAGAAATAAAAGCTAGAAAAAAATGCATAGAGGACACTGTAGGCTGCGAGCTTTCTGTGTCAAAGCCATGCAAATTTATGGGAACTTGTAGGGCAAATGCATCATATAGTGTAATAGTAACGGTTGCATAAATAGATTCTTTTTCCCAGTGCAATTAGCAGTAACTGGCTTATAGCCCTTTTTAACTAAAAAAAAATAATTAAATAAAGTTCTTTGGTGATGGAATAAAAATCAAACTCATTTTGTGCCTTTTAAGATTGTGATGAGAACCTCTTGGATTTTTAAAAACCTTCTTTGCTACATGTCATACACCAATATGGGATGAGTTGAGAATCTTAGCAACATTTGAGACTCTAAAATCATATTTAAAATTGGCCTTATAATACTTCATGTATATGACATGCAAACACTTGGCTGTGTATGGAACCAAGTGAGGCAGAGGACATTACAAAAGATGAAATGGATGAACAGAACAGTGCAATATTATAGTTAAAATGCAAACACAAGTCCAAGATGTCATTGCTACCATCTCATTATTGTGTTGTATCTTTTACCACCTGCAGGTAGCAGTGCCAAAATATGTCTTTTTGAATATTCACTAAATCAGCTCTATCAAAAGTGCTTATCAGTGAATTTCTAGTCATTAATAATTTAAAGAGCTTGAGCCAGAATATAAATCAATTCACTACTTCCTTAGAGAAAGTGAAGAAGAGAAGAAGAAGAGAAGAAGAAGAAGGAGGGGGAGGAGGAGGAGGAGGAGGAGGAGGAGGAGGAGGAGGAGGAGGAGGAGGGGGAGGAGGAGGAGGAGGAGGAGGGGGGGGAGGAGGAGGAAGAAGAGAAGAGTTGTTAACTGAATTCATCAGGTGTGGTAATACTATTGTAGTTGTTTTTATAATCTGGCGCAAACTATCTTGTGCAAACCTGGAAAAGTTTTAATGGTGATCTGATCAACTCCCACTTGCTGGCACTGCATTTAGTCCTATTATGCTTAAAACCCTCCAAAGTCTTTAGATAGAACTGAATCATGAAGCCAAAATCGTAATAAGGACCTAGAAGACCAGTATGATTTGGTCCCTGACTATCCCTCTAAATTTATCTAGCTCTGATTCTCCAAGTTCCAACCACACTGTCCTCTTGTACCTTGAATTTTTCAATTCAGGTCCAACACTTTTCTTCCATCAACTCACACACTGCTCCCACATTTTTCATCATTTAAGCCTAAGCTCAGATGTCACAGCCTCATAGAGGAGTCTCTTAAAATCTAAACTAGACTTCCTGGGTGGTTTACTCACTCTGATTTTCTGTTTTATTTTTTCACAGTACATAGCAATCTTTGAAATTACACCTTTGTATCTCTAATTCTTCATTGTCAAAATTTCTCCAACCCCCATCAGGAATATAATAGATCTAGTTTGCCTTATTTCTCACTATATTTCCTCCCCTAAAAACATACTTGGTTGCCACAAATAAATATTTGAATAAATTATGAATGGGTGACTCAATGAAGGAATCAGTTTGGTTCATATGCTATCTGTTAAACACTGGTAGCCATAAACCAACTTTCAAAGGCAGAATTTGAACTTTCATACCTCCTTGCTAAATAAATATTTTGAGCTACCAATTTATTCCTGTAGGATTAAACACCATGCATTAACTTGTTACTTAGGCAACTAAAAAAATAATTTATTATATAATGTTTCCATTATTTTATTTTAAAATGAGCATAAATAAAAAAAATTTGAAGTTTTTATAATCCACTGAAAGATGGAACAAAAGTAAAAAAAATATATATGACAGCTCATTAGCCTAAGGCAGCAATTTTCAATCTTTTTCATCTCATGGTACACCTAAAGTAATTACTAAAATTTTGCAACACACCAAAAAATATATTTTTTTCAGATCTGACAAAGAAAGATAGGTATAAATTCAATACATTCACACTGGCCAGCTTTTTTTGTGTTTGCTTCTGTCATTTTCTTTTTTCTTTTTTTACAATCTAAAGGAAAAGAGGTCAGTGCCCTTGACTAAATAATTAGGTATTGCATGTTTTAAAAATTCTTGTGGCACACCGATTGAAAATTGCTGGCCTAAGTGATCATTTAATTTAAACCAGATGACTATATTCAAAAATAAAGAAAAAAACAAAATTTTGAAAATGTGTCTAAAATATGGTAGTTAATTATATGTATTGACAGTGGATAAATTAGTGATTTTTGTAGTATTTTATGTCTTTCCTATTATTGTTTTCATTTAGCTAAGTTATTCATATGTTTTTTTCAATAATATAATGTATAAAGATTGAAGACTACCCATAACTGGATTTTTATCTTATTAATGACTATTTAGAAACTTACTTCTATTATAATACATATAACAGAATCTTCATTTTGCTTTTTACCCCTAAACTTATCTCTGAACATTTGACAGATATATAAAATCGGTTAAAAGAAAGGAGCTGGAAAATGCCATGTAGCTTTCTAAAAGATATATACATGCTATAAAATACAAAAATAAAACTACCAATATTTTTTATTATCCAGAAGAAATCTGACCCACCCAAAAATTTGAATTTGATAACCGTAGTTCATTAAAAAAATGCTAAGAATGTAAATATTTGATAAAACTTTGAAATTCAAGCCTACCTTCTTGAACAGGCTCATATTTTTCAATGGTCGCAGAAGCAATACTTTCACTCAAGTTAACTATATACTGCTCTTTTCTCAAAAAGTCATCCAAATTTTTTTCAAAAAGAATTTTTCGGTTTTCAGAATATGCATTGAAAATCTCAATAATTTCTTCTCTGTATACAATACTTCGATAAATTGATCTAAATTCTTCTATGGTGATTTTTCCTTGCTTCAGCCTGTCATTATCCTACTAAAAAAAAAATCACTAGTGGGCTCACGTTGTGAATATAAAAAAAAAAATACACAAACAATCAATTAGAATATTTGGTAACATACAGAGCAACTTATACTTGAAAGAAGATGAATCTTAGATTAGTATCTCAGATACAATATATTAAACTGCAGGAAATGGTGCCAACGTTGGGAAAAAGCTAATGGATTACCATCACTTAAAACCTCCTGGCGGTAGCAGGTATAGAATAAGGTCTGGGCAAAGATGAGTATTGTAGTATGGTTTTGAAATACACATTTTCTTTTCCTATTCTAGTCTCTCTTCAGGGCCTTCTTGAAGCCATGCTAGACAGTATGTATCCCATGCTACTAACACGCAGCTTGCACCATAAATGTCAGAGAAAATCAGAGGCATGCAAGATCACTGTGAAGTACAGGTGCTGCCAAAATTAGGCAGTATCTGAAGGAGGTAGTATCTACATATCATGAAGGATTTGGGATAATGACAAACAAGGTAGGTTGCAATAAGAACACATGGATTCACCTGGCTGTTCTGAAATTTTCATTTTTGAACTTTATGACGTAAGAGAAAAAAAATGGGCTGGGTCCAGTTATTAAAAGCTATAGCAACCTGGGAGGTTGAGTAAGAACATGACTAGCAAAAGCTGAAGTTCAGTATCCTTATCTGTGCAGTACTAATTGGAAGAGATGGAGAATTGCATCTAAGGCAGTGGGTCTCAGCCTTTCTAATGCCATGATCCTTTAATACAGTGCCTCATGTTGTGGTGACCCCCAACCATAAAATTATTTTTGTTGCTACTTCATAATTGTAATTTTGCTCTGTTATGAAACATAATGTAAATATCTGTGTTTTCCGATGGTCTTAGGCTCATACAAAACCTATGGGTCCCCTAAAACTATCAAAAAACACAGATATTTACATTATGATTCATAAGAGAGGATACAATCCAAGAGGATAAAAACTAAAAAAGAAATGAGGTCTCAATGAAACCCCTAGTCCACTCCCCCTGGCATTTCAACAAGTTAACAAATTATAATTCAACAAAGAAAGCCCTGCTCAACACAGATGCATGCCTGAGAGACCCAGGCATTGAAACATCTAAAGGTGGGCAACAAGGAATAAACAGGGAAACAAAATGGGAAGAAGTTAAGCCCTACATCAGGGAACTCACGGTTGGGCCAGTAGCAGCGCTTCCTTTGACAGAGAGAAGCATGCAGAATAGGGAGGGAAGTGGGCAGGTGGGGGAACTACAGCAGGGCAAGTGGCATGGGAGTGAACAGTTGTTTGTTCAGCAATTCCTCTCTTGGGCATATACCAGAAAAACTCAAAACCATGTATCTGCAAAGATACAGGCAACCCTATGTTCATTGCAGCATTATTCACTGGCCAAGACATGGAAACAACCAAAGTGTCCTGCAAGAGAAGACTAGATAAAGAAAATGTGGTGCATACACACAATGGAATGCTACTCAGCTGTAAGAAAAGATAAAATAGCTCTGATTGCAGCAACATGGATGGACTTTGAGATTATGCTAAGTGAAATACTAGTAAGTCAGTCAGAAAAAACTAACAACCATAATGATATCCCTCATATGTGAGATATAAAACTGAAAGTCCTGAACACAAACAGCAGTGTGGTATTGCCAGAGGGAAAGGGGTGAGGGGAGAAGAGGGTCCTAATATAAGGTGTCAGGAGAAGATTTGACTTTGGGTGGTTGTACCCTATACAGATCTTGTAACATAGCAACCCACACCTGAAACCTATATGTTCTTGTTGACCAATGTCACACTAATAAATTTAATTTAAAAAGCAACTAAAGAACAGGTGTGAGTGAAAGTATGAAGGAAGAACTCAGAAGAACTTAAATATTAAAAGTTTAGACACATAAGGGAGAGAAATCAGAAATGTCTGGTATTGAAAAGAGTTGGAAAAACTAGTGGAATAATAGCAACACAATTAACAAATTGAGCACAGAAAGCTCACCTTTGGGCCTTTAATTTCAAAAGAGGCTATGCATTTATATTTTAACTTTCTCATTACACTGTAAACAGATTGAATGCAAGGAACATGGGCCACTTTATTTTGGTAAAAAGCTAATAATTGGTAGACAAAATGGACTAACATACTCGTAGCTCCACAATATGTGAGACTTTGGACATATGAATGAAACTCTCTGAGCTTCATAGTCTACACCTGCAAAATGGGGATAAATAATATCACCTATATCATCCAGTTGCTATGCAGATTGGAGATGTACAAGATGGGCAGTTCTAGAGTTCACTGTATTGTATGTCTTATCTACATCTGCTTCCCTCACCTCATCTACCCTAGTGTCTCATCTTTTGACAACTTGGCCTGTACGGTGGACCCTTGGGTATAATAGGGGACAAACATGCTGGAAATGAACTCTTCGTTTCATGAGGAAAACTTCAGTGGGGATTACCAGAGAGTTTGATATGAGGAATTCAAGAAGCAGTCTGACCTGAGAATCAACTATGAAGTTTTGCAGAAAAAGCTGTTTCATTTTAAACGTTAAAGTATCCGGGCATCCAAGCAGAGGCTTGGTTGCAGTAGAAAAAGAGGATTGATGTGTTACAGGAGAACGCATGACAATAAGGATTTTGGAGTCAGACATACCCAGATGTGAGCTCCCACAGTTATAGGAGAAATGAACAGATCCCACCAATGTCTTTATCCTCTGTATCCTTCTGTATTCAAAGATGCTAATAATAACCTCCTTGAGTGTTTATGGAAAAAATAATGTGTACAAAAACCTAATAGAGTGCCTAGAACATGGCAGATGACGCACACGTTTTATCTTGTCTCTGCATATGGCTCTATTATTCTTGATAGAAAACTTAAATTTTGTTCCCAGGAGAGTAGTCATTCAAGCCACTGAAAGTCAATAAGGTAGCCAAAACCGGTTTGGCTCAGTGGTAGAGCATTGGTCTGCGGACTGAAAGGTCCCAGGTTCGATTCCGGTCAAGGGCATGTACATTGGTTGCGGGCACATCCCCGGTAGGGGTTGTACAGGAGGCAGCTGGTCGATGTTTCTCTCTCATCGACGTTTCTAACTCTCTCTCTCCCTTCTCTCTGTAAAAAATCAATAAAATATATATTTAAAAGAAGAAAAACAAAGAAAGTCAATAAGGTAGTGCAGAAGAGGCTACCGAACTCACCTCCTCCCACAGACACACCAACTCTACAGCTGCATATGGTACCATTTTCTCTGAAAGACATCCAGAAACTAGTGAGCAAATCCTACACACAGGGTGGGTGAGGGGAAAACCCACATCAACAAGAGTAGGAGAGGCAGAAACATAATCTGTCTATCATCTCCAGCCCCTGCAGGGTTACCTATAACTTGGATGCAACTCCCAACTCCCAGTTTCTTCCTGGAATGAAGGGTTTGGACCCAATACCTAGTGCCCCAACTTTTTAAGATTCCCACATGAGAGACAGGCTCCCAAAATACCTAGCTCTGAAAGCCAACTGGGCCTTGATTCCACAAGACCCAAAAGACCACAGTAAACAGTTCTTCATGGCTCCTGAGAACTGGTGGCATTCCCCCTCCACGCACTCTCACCCCTCAGCCTAGAGGCAGGACAGTGAAGCACCTAGTGTTCTCCTGCAAGAGGCCTATTTGGATATCTTTTTAAAAATATATATATTTTATTGATTTTACACAGAGAGGAATTGAGAGGGATAGAGAGTTAGAAACGTCAGTGAGAGAGAAACATCAACCAGCTGCCTCTTGCACACTCCCTACTGGGGATATGCCCACAACCAAGGTACGTGCCCTTGACCGGAATCGAACCTGGGACCTTTCTGTCCGCAGGCCAATGCTCTATCTACTGAGCCAAACCGGTTTTGGTCTATTTGGATATCTTAAAAGTTACATAGAGTCTGAGAGTCATGCTTCTGATCTAACACACACCCAGGAGCCGAGTGTGCCATCTTCATGCTCCCCTGCTGCCTCACCTCAGATCACCAGTGTCTCCCTGAAAGAAGCTGTGCACACATCTGGCACCCGGGCTGTTGCAGCTGCTAGTCAGGGGATGAGCTCCTTGGTTGCCCGGCTCTGGTAGCCAGTGGGGCTTGCATGTGCGAGTGCTACAGGTCTGTACCACACAAGGAAACCGTTCTTGACTGGCTATTTCCCCAGGGCTCAGCACAGACACAGCCAGAGTCAGAGGCACCCAGTTCCCAGGCTTTCTCTGAGGGAGGCCAGGTTTAACACAACAACAACAAGGTTTAACACAGCAGCAGGTCTCCAGAGACTTTGTGTTGTCCTTCTGCTCTGCTCTGGGTTGGAGGTATCCCACTAGAGGGAACTGACAGCCTGGCTCTGGTGGACAGTGAGTGAGGCTTGTGTGCACTGGTTAAGAGAACTGTGGCAAACAAAGAAAAAGTCCCTGGACGTCTGTTTGTTCCCCTGGGCCACAGAACAAAGTGAGTGGAATTGATAGCTCCACCCAGCTCCTTCAAAGAGATCTCTTCCCTCAAAGAGATCTATTTGCATATTTTGCCTGAGGGTCCAGCTTCCAATTAGCCTGCAGCCAGGCGCAGAGACTCTCCAGACACTAAGAATGAAGTGGCTTTGGGAAATCACAAAGGTTGAGCTAAAGAATGAGGTTTATCTACTAAATGAGACAGCTTCCTTAAGACTAACAGAGGTGAATGCTCCATTTAAGGCACCAAAACCAACAGTTAAAAAAATGTTCAAAGGAAAATGTTCCAAACAAAAGAACAAGATAAAACCCCACAAACAGACTTTAATGAAACAGAGATAAATGACTTATCTGTCAAAGAGTTCAAATAATGGTCATAAGTATAATGGAGTTTCTTAAAAAAATTTCAAAATAGACTTAAACATGTCCGGCAATTCCACTTCTTGGTATTTCTCCAAAGGAAATAAAACCACTATCTTGAAAAGCTATCTGCACCCTTATGTTTATTGCAGCATTATTTACAATAGCCCAGCTATGGCAAC